TACAAAACTATGGAATTGAGGTGGTACCTTGAGTAGAATTGTAAAGACTGAACTTTTATCAGTCTTCTGCTGCATATCCACATGGTGTGGTAATATTGAACAGATGATCAGCTTTACTACTCCTTTACGTATCTACATCGGACAATGCTCAAGATAGTGACGGCGGGCTTCTTAAGCCGTTTTGTCAATGCGAAGGTTTCCTCTTCGATCTTGTGTACTGAAGACAACGCCCTAGCTTTTCTGAGGAATGTTTTCACCAGGCTTCAATTTTCTTTCTTGTAGATGGATTTTTCAACTGTCACAACATTTCTTCTTTTTATATTGATATCTAGGAAGTGAACTGGTTGTTAAGTTCGTGGTTCATTGTGAATGTTGTGTGAGGGTGCATTTACCAGTTCACCTGCACTTTCGGCAGCAAGTACATAGGAGAGACTGAGAGGAGAGCGTCTACTAGATTCTCCAAGCATACCCCTAAAGGTCTATCTTTTTCAAGGCAGCAAAGTATTCTGAAGCACAATCGCCAGACTCCTAATTGAAATGGGATATACAGTGGAAATTAGTCAGGCTTTTGAAATAATCAATAAAAAAAAGGAAAGCATGCTTAATTCGGTCGCAGAAGCCATTGCTATCACTACCCTGGTAACCAAAAGTGGTTTGTCCGTATTCTTTTGTGTTTTGTTCTGCTGCATAACATTCCACTCAATCTTGATTTTGAATCTCACCCACTGAGTTGAACTCACTATTAAGGTTCCAAATCAACTAAATTCAATTATTGTATCTATTTTTTTTACAATTTTACTTCACTATTCATCCCCACCCTCCTAAACTCTCAACCAAAGTATGTATAAATTAACTCCGTCGTTCTATCTTGTATTTTCTCTGTAGTTCATCCTTGTCTCCAAGAGAAATCAGAACTCCACTCGTTTGTCTAAATACTGTATAAACAGTTACTCTTTCAACACTAAATAATTTCTTATTTACTTCATCTTTGAAATTGTGTTACTTATACTTTCTATCTGCGACTTCAAATCGCTGTGAAAAGCATGTTCACACACCATTTTGCAACATGTAATTGATTTATTTGAGACATATGCAGTTGAAGAGAATTCACGACGAAATAAAACGAGATAGTATTATCCTGCAAATATATTCGCTCATTCCTTATTCAAACTAAATTTATAAGTGCACACTGAGGTGGCTAGACTCGGTAGTTTATGAATACGGATCACATGACTGTTAAAAGTTCCGCCTTTACAATTCTATACAAAATATCACCTCAATTCCTTATGTTTGTGTGTTTTAGATCACTAGATACAGCTGAGGCAGTTGCCATAAGAAATTGTCAATCTAATCTTCGTGTTCACATAAGGCTTGTTCAATCCTTCTCCTTTCCACGTTGTTCGGTCCCAACCTAGAAAAGTCATCTCCCAAAGTGATACCAGATAACTGTAAATATTGTTTTTCTTTTCATTTGCACTGATAAATTAATTATCGGTGGCACAGCGGTTAGGACACTCGCCGACCATGCACGTGGTCTGCGGTTCGATCCCCAACCGACACACTCCTTAAACTCGTTAAGCGAGAAATAATGCTGGTAAAGATGAAAGGTTGGGCATGAGGCTAGCAACCCCATCCTGTAAAATTAAACACTGCTACAGAAACTTTAAGCCACTAGCTTGAAGCCCTATGTTCCACTGGCGAACATCAAGGAAAAAAACCATACTGTCCTACAGTTATACACCTGAATCTTAGTTCCAAAACTTATTATCATTATTCCATTTAAATTCTCCTTTATTTCACTTGACTCTCTTGATGCACATTGTTTCAGATATCTATGACTGACATTTTAAAAATAATCTGCTTTATTTTAAAAACAGTACTTACTACACTGCTTGGAATTCTCAGTATTTATCACAATATCGTATTCATCTAAGTTACTCGAAATATAAATTAAATTAACAACAGGAATTTATCCCTATTTACAACAGGAATAAAGTCAAAAATGTGCCAAGTACAAAATGAGAATAACAACTATAATAACAGTAATAACAGTGGGTTTGTTTCAAACAGTAATGTTGATATTGTCTCAAAATTTAGGCATGTTATAGAATATTGAATAATAAAATGATAACAATTGTCACAGTGCCTAAAAGATGTCTACACTTATGAGAAAAACAAAAACGAAAAATGAGAGGATTATATACATAAGAAGACGAATAACAGTAAAGCTTGATGTTATAAGGGTGGAGAAAAATTGTTTATTTACTAGTGGAAACAAGATTAGTTAGTTAGTTCGTCCCTAACACTATTCTCATCACAAAAAATACGTGTCGCCAAACATGGTATCGTGGAATTTCTAAACTTAGACGTGTGCGCATAGTCTATTGTAACGACTTCTTGTTTCACCTGAGTAGGAGACACAAGGTGAAAGCTGCAGTGAAAAGAGGATGCTCACAGTCTGACAAAATTTCTTTAGCAGATTTTTTGCATGAAAGCCAGGGCCTATCATTGACAATGTCAACGATATGTCCCAATGGGATACTATTCGCCCTTTTGACAGCTGGTCTTCAGAGTCCTATGAAGTATGACATAGTCTTTTTTGAGCAATCCAAGAAAGATTAAGGGTGAACAATAAAGAAGAATAGGGGTAAGATGCAAGAGTTAACAAACTGTAAGAGGAGGACGGGTTAAGTTGAGTTATGCCTGAGTGTCTTAATTTCTTAATGTTAAAAGTCAGACAAATTGCTAAGACATGGAAAGACCAAACCAGGCCAGAAGAAAGAATCAGTCAAAGATACTTGATGTCAGACTTGGTTTCTATATCACTTTCATCAATTTTACAACGGTCATGGGAATTACTGTGTAACTGTAAAGCGTGATGAGAATTTACAGAAGATATCATGGATGCAGCATGATAATGTATGATTTCATATTTAGTAGGAACTCGGTAATAATATAGATGATGAATAGACCCAGGATGAAAGTTAAACAACATGTATTCTTGTTGTGTGATAATGGGTGTGCGTTTGATACACATTAATTTTAGTTAACCGATTCCTTAAATCGCATGAAAAAATTTGGGGTGAAAAATGCTCATTTTAGGCAGAATGTTTGAAACATCGTACTAAATAAATGGTGAGGAAACATTTAAACCTTATTCGTTCGTTGGTCTGTGATAAGTATCGCCCTCTAGGTCAGCTGAATTACGTGAATCGATGTATAATAATATTAACTATTTTCCAAGTAATGATTATCAGGTATTTGTTTGATTTCAAGACCTGTAACGAACTGTCTTCAGTTACAGAACCACTGAAAACCAGCAGAAGGTAGTGATGAATAATCATTTCGCCTTAGTTTTAGACTCTTCATCTGTACGCACCCATGATCTCACCAGAGATAGAACCCAGACTCCTTAACTTACAAGCCGACCTTGAATACCATTAAACCACCCAGATGCTATCGAATAATTTGTGAGTGAATTCACGTTAGTGGGTGACCTCCAGCTAGTTTCACCGGTGTCTTTTTGTGCCCATATAGAACTTGGTCGACTCTTCTGGTCACAACTTCTCATTTAGAACTTAAGGTAGTTTCATCTTATAATATGTCACTAGCGGGTAAAAGATTGATTTTCAGGTACTGGTTTAAAGGCATCTGATTGACTTCGAGACTGATCATAGAGTCAGAAAAAGTGTCTTTAGCTGATGACATTCTATGGGTAAGTGGAGTAGGATGTGTGGAATTAATTATGATTCATATTGATTTGCTTGATTTTCAAGACAGTAAACTTTCATAGAATAAGAGTTTTACATTTAACGCCTTTTCGATATTCAACAGAAAATAACAAGAAGGCTGGCAAACAGATATCTTCCTGGCGATTTCATCCTCCTAAGCCTCTATGCAACAGCATTTATATACATAAGTTCACGTAGAAAAAATTTTAATTATTTTTCTTAATTCCACATGATAACGATAAAGGAGATTAAAGGTGATAAGAATTCTCCACTTGATGTGATAGTTTGAAGGTGTGAATATAAATTACGGGGACAATAGAAACAAAGTTACGTAGGATTAGAAGAGAGTTTTTAACGCAGTCATAGAAAAACCTGAAATAGGAAAAAAATTATCAGAGTGGAGAGACAAAAAAGAGGAAAACTACGGAGTTTAACCTAACTACATCTATTATAAAGATGCAGAAGTTGGATTAGCTTCTTTTGAACCCATACATATAGCGTTGCTTTCTGAAGTGTATATGAGTTGGAGACACACTGCGTTTAGTAGACTTTCGTCCACTTTGTAAATGACTCTGAGTACTGAGTCAGTTGAGATACTGTGATATCTGTTGGCGAGGTGTTTAGTTATAATAATTCTGACTAAACCAGTGCTTCCTCTTTCGAGCCATACCTAGTAATGTTTTAAAAAGACGCGCTTAAACGACCTTTTCATCTAACTCTACAGGATTAGGTGAAGTGATATATGCACATTACAGTGGTCATATATGTAAGTTCGGCCTTCCCAGTTCTTTGAAGCAGTAAGAGGCTATAGGATATCACTCTTAGAGTTGCTGCAGGGAAGGACTTCTTTAGTAAACTAGAGACTCTCCTTTTTCAAGATATCCGTCATCGAGTTTGTCCCCGAAGTCCAGTAGTTTCTTTATTACTCTGTATTTCGCTGATTTTAGTTTTGGTTTTATGTTCATTTCTTCGAAAACTGTTGGGTATCCATTGTGGCCTGGGATATTTTTTAGAAATAAAAGTCTTTCTTGCAAGCAATCAGTACTGCAAATTGTTTTGTAGGAGGCCAGTAAAACGTGATTTTACAGGTTTTGAGGATGAATTTGCTGGAAAGACATCTGTTTCTTTGACTTCTAGTTCTTGTCCTGATGGATATTTTCCACAATTTTCAATATTTACCCTTTAATATACACAAACAAAACTCATAAATATTTACTACTAACAAAAGGTTCTAAACTGCTCACTTTTATTTTTGCTTTCGTTTTACAGTTCTTTATTACTGGACTGTCATTTGCTACATTCGCTGTGCCGCCAGAACGACCTGAAAACAGACTTCAACTATCATTTACACTATTTTTAACTTCTGTCGCCTTCAAATTTGTTATCAATCAATCATTACCAAAAATTTCTTACTTAACCTACATGGTAAGTGTTTAATAGCTTCGAACAATTTCTGTTTCTTTAAATATACCTTTGTATATATGTGTTTGTGAATTTACTTACCTGAAACAACATTGTTAGGCGGATGTAAATTGACAACCAATCTAGGAAAAAGGAGGTTGTGTCATCACTCATAGAGAATTCAAAAGAAGCTCATTGCATGTTAGAAAAATTGAGCTGAAGACGCTGTCCAAAATGATGACGAAAGCTTCACGATTAAATCAACCAGCTCTTTTATTTACCCACACAGTTTTGTCATTTGATAAAAGACACAAATATGTAGCACATTTGATTAAGTTGTGTTTTCCTTTTTGAGATTTTGAATTCAGTAGTATAATCAGTGAATCCATAATTAGGCCGTTCATGATCGCTACAGGACAGAACCACGTTTGATATTAATGAAGACATCGGAACAAGTATTTTTAAATATTTCCATTGTTAATAATAGAAAGGACATATGAGCGTACAGTATCATTGTTTTCAATTAGATCTTCTTCAGGCCTTATTCTTATTTACATAGATTTACACATAACAATTATAAGCAATGATGTTGTTTTGTGGATCAAATAATAATAACAATAATGTGGTGAATGTTTTGAACGTCATTAATAACGATGATTATAATGATAACAAAATATTGATAATAAAGTTCATCCAGGTGACGATAAGAATAACAAAGGTAGTAATATGTGTATACGTAGACAATTCAATAAATAAGTAATGTCAAATATTGAAAGTTGCGTAATACTAAAAATGAAGTGGACAAATAATCAGAGTTTAAATAAATATCATAAAAAAAATAGGAAGGACATAGAAAATAAGAAAAGGTATGAAGGTTTTAATTAAACTTTATCTAGACCAAGGGAGAGACAAAGTTAGAACAAACTTCTTTTGTTGTCTGCAAAGACTATGATTGTTCTCTCGAATTTTTATAGCTTCGGCTATGTGTAAAAAGCGGGATCGAGATCCTTTCGAAAGGCCCAATGAAATGCAATAGATAACTTTGAAGGCGCTTCTCCTGTCCACTCTTGATGGTGTCTGTCAATCGAATGAGCCAAAATAGAACTTCTTACAGATTTTATTTGGCCTTTTACGAACCACGAAGGAAGATGCTCAATAATGCGTTGTTCGCCCTACATAGCTATCTCCACAGGAGCAACTAAATTTATAGATACACATAGAAGTGGCACAGCTTGTCTTTCGCTTAAGCAATCATAAGTGGTCGGCTGGAAGATGACAAAAGAAAGGGTGACAGCAGTAAAGGTCCGTTTTATTGCTCTCGATAATCTCAGATGTAAGACTTTACTAGCCACATCCCCACTAAATTGCAATTTTAGAAACAATTTTTTCATTCTAAGTGTTGTCAGTTTCTCTTTATTGTGCCTGGTGTTCATGTGTCTCCTGACAAATCCACTAGGATAACCATCTGGACCGGCGTATTTTGGATGGATCCTAACTCATTTTCTAGGGAGTCATCTGTACAGAACAATATTTTACTGTCGTTTTAATCATCGCTATTAATGAAGTTCAAAATATTTACCACATTATTATTATCATTATTACTATTTGATCCACAAAATCACCGTCATTGGTCAAAAGTGTTATTTATAAATCTATTTAAATAAGAGTAAAACTGGAAGATCTAATTGAAAACAACAATACTGTTTGCTTATATGTCTTCTTCTAAGAAAACAAGTAGTCTGTTGAAGAGGGCTTTTTTTGGTGAATTTATTTGCTTCAGCCACACAAATGTATTTATATACAGGGTAGTAGCAAAAGCGGTGATCTCTCACAATCTCGGCTGTTATTATTAATCAGTGCATGAGAGAAGTTGAATGAGTGTATAAGAGTTACATGATAAAAGAACAAATTTAATGTGAATGAGGTGTAATTAGGATGCGCAGAGAAATGAAACAAAATAAGAGACTACATGAGAGTTATAAGGAATTGGGAAAATAAACAAACGAAAATCAAGTTATAAGTAATCAACAACGTCACCCCTGTGATTATAGAAGTGGTCAGATTGTCTTCTTTTATATGCAGAGCTCTTTCAACCATGCCTGGAAACCATTCATAGCAGTAATTGTTAGTGATTAGCTTATCTTAAGGATTGACAGTCATTGACTACGTTTAGCGTGGGCCTAGGAAAACGTTCTACCAAGCAAGTCAGTTTGAAGAAACAGCATAAAACATTACTTCGTTCGTGGTGGATAGAACTGGGATCTGGGACATGCACCTCCCTCTATTCAAGACTCATGAGCATCAGATGCCAATCACAAACCTTCATTCAATAAAAAGACGTAAAATTAACCACATACGATAAACCATTTAGTTGTGTCAGCTGCAAGCAGGAAAGAAGAATAACCAAAAAGCACTTTTAATTACGTAAGTTTGATTATACCAAGGGTATTACGAAGATAAACATTTTCGCTGAAAGTAAGTGTGAGTTTATTGAAATGCACGAAATTCTTAATTATTCTTTTTCTCCTTCACTGAAAATGTCCATTAAGAATTTCAAAGACTGATTAATGAATAACGAGCGTTCCTCTCGATAAATTCGTCATCAGGTTCTACATTTATATGCCAATAGTAATTGAAGAAATAGCCTTATTAACAACAATAATAATGGTTATACGAGTTTGACCACGGATTGATATCAGTTAGAGAACCATTGAAAATCGGAAAGTACTGGACAGCTGTTTTATCCTAGTGCTTTGGAATCATCGACAGTAAGCATCCACCAATAGGGTTTGAACCCAGGACCTTCCAGTTACAAGGTAAGCTCGTATATCATTCAGTGAATGGGACACGATTTAGTGGTCAGTCCATGAATTCTAACTTCTACCAATTCGTGATTTAGCGCGACTACCAACCAGTGTCATCTATAGGACATCAATCCTCACACTTGACTGGATGGAACTCACTGGTCACGGGTTGTCACTAGAGCTGCAGGAAACTCTGTCCTGCTTCTCTAGCTGATATCAATCCCTGATCAAACTCGTATAAACAAATCTATTCCTTACAAACCAAGCTATTGAAAATATTAATGCTGTTATAAATCACATCAATATAAAGCTAAACTGACTGAATATCAGATAAATTCAGGGAATTTATAAGCCTGACAGTAGGCCAGGGCAGCATTAGTGACCAGCTGAACCTGTTTCTTTTGTACTCAGAGTTCCGGCAGATTAAGGCGAATAGCGATGGCCTCTGCTGTTTGCAGTGTTCGGCATATGGAGAGCTTTAGTAATGTAGTCAATGTATGATAGATGATGGAGAAAGACTCTTCAATGATAGCTAGCTTTGTAGTTTGTTTACATAGGGGGATCTTACATAGAACTGTTGATGGTTTCAACGATACGTTTATTTAAACATAGTAGAAGGTGCACTCGAGGACGAAAAATCTAGCTTGTAGATAACTGGCTTCACAGTAGCAGTCCAGCTGTTTGATACACTTAGAGGTGGTTAACCCCAGTCCTTCATCCTTCAATTTCGGAATCACAACCGATTGCATTAAAAACATAAGCTAAGGCTTACTGGCACCATTAAACTTTATTCCAATCAGTTTTCTCAACATGTACATCACCTTTGAATTGTAGTCGTATATATACTGATGCTTCGAAATATTTTGTATTTTTTTGTTCATGTGGTAATTGATGAGGTAACTATTCAGGGTGGTTATTTTCAATTAAAATGCTGCATTCAACCTTGAGTCTCTGTCTTCAATTGCATCTCTGACTGCATAGCTGAAGGTCTTTATCGAATTTCTCCACTTTGTTTTAGCTTCCTATAAACTACGCGTTTCACTGTTTTAATTAATATTCAGCTGGCGGAAGAAGAAGAATAAAATCTTCAGGCTTTTGAAAGAGACTTTCTAATTTTCTTTTTTTCACTAAATTTAAAAAAAATGTGCTTGGTTAGTTCATCCGAAAGTTTTCCTTTTGGATGTTTCTAATTTGAACTCTGTAATAATGGAAAAACTGGAAAACATGATTTCAAACAGTCACCTAAGAAACACTGGACTTTAGTCTGTGCTTGAGATAAACTTTAAATAGAAAAGTCTATTTAAAGCAATTTTAGTGTTTTTCTAAGTATGGACGCTACGTCGGTGGCACAGCGGTACAGTGCTCGCCTATCACGCAGGCGGTCCGGTGTTAGATCCCTCGAAGACGCACTCATTTATTTCGCTCAGCCAGTATTAAGACTTGTAAAGACGGAAGGTTGGGCTTGGGGCTAGCAAACTCATCCTGCAAAAATAAACATCACTGTTACAGAAACTTCAAGCTCCTAGCTTGTAGCTCTATTCTACACTGGGCACGTAAAGCAATACAAAAATTACGAACACTGATTGTCCTGTGTACTTGTTTAACTTTAAACGCAATAACCTTTTGAGTGATAATTAAATCGTTGATATGCAGCTGTAGGTTGACAGGTAGAACACCTTACAACCACGCATCACATGGTCCGGGGTTGGATTCCCGACCGTCGCACTCCTACACCTCAGCCAGTACTAACCCAGGAAAGAGGAGAGTTAGGGTGTGAGACTAACATACTCCACCCAGAGAAATGCAAAACCCACTGCTACTGAAAATTCAACCTTGAAGCTTTATGCTCTACTTGGAGCACAAAGGAATACAAGAATAAAAAATAGAAATTCATCTTTGATATCTAAGTGGCTAGATAAACATGGTGACAGTGCTATATGAGTATTTCCAAATGAGTATTGCATTCATTTTGTTCTATTGTGTTCCATTTGGGACACAGAGCTTCAGACTTGAGGTTTGAGCACTTAGTAACACTGGTGTTATTCTTTTTTTTCCGCAGTGTGGGAGGGAGATTACTAGCCTCACACTTGACTGTCTCTCTTTACCAAGTCCACTAACGGCTAAGCAAGGCTTAGAAATGCGTCGGCGGTGGCGGACATCCCCTCCAACACCCAGTGAGGAGCGTTTAGTGAGTGGTTGTCCGTTGAACCACTGAAGAGT